AGCCTCTTTTAACTATCACTGACGAAGCTCTTGACGTTTTGATAAGCAAAACCCACGAAAAAGGTGTAAGACAACTAAAATCGGCCTTTAGAACATCACCTCTTTCACTATTGTTTGCAAAAATGAGCCGAAGAAGAATCCCAGGGGCAATTAACAAACAAAATTGAAATCACCCCCGACTTGGTGAACCAAATTATTCCCCAATCTTTTCCGAATGCCGACCAAGAAGATAGTCAAGATAAAAATGGCAAAGATAAGAATAATGAGCAATTGGAAATTCTCCGGAAAGAGTTAAAAACTCTCCAATGAGAAAAGGATAAATTGGCGAATATTGTAGCCAACAATAACCAAAGCAAACTAAAAGCAAGCAAATTTCGGGCTCTAAATGTGATCCAAAAGGCTTTGAATAATGCCAGGCTCGCAGAGGGCGAAACTATTTTCGGCAATCGCAATTACAAAAAAGTAATCAATGATGCTACTTCTCCCGAAGAAGTCGAAGCCATTCGGGAAGAGGTTTTATTCTGAGTTGCGGAAAAATTCCAAGGACAAGGACTAACTGAAAAAACAAAAACAGCAAAAAATTATTCTAACAGTTGGTGTTCGCCAGTTCAACAAAATGACCACAAAATAATAGAAAAGTTGGTCAAAGAAATAAGTAAAATGAATGACCATAATATTAAAAAAAACAGCATTAAAGATTTAGAAGAGCGGTTAACCCAACTTCAAGAGCGAAATAACGATTTAGCAAAACAATTAAATAACTCGCAACAGAATTTTTCCCAAACAAAAGAAGATTTACGAAAGGAAATTCAAAATTTAAAAGAACCAGAGAAAATTAGTTGAAGCACCAAGAGCCCTTGGTTTATTTTATTTATTGTTATTTCTCTTGTCGTTATTGTTAGCGGAACAATTGGCGGAATTTTAATCCGTAAGAAAAAGCCAAAAGGTAATAAGGAAAATTATAAGCAATAAAAACTTGAACTGAACCGAAAATGTGTGCTTATTTTAGGAAAATGAAAAAACTTCGGTAAAATAATTAATATGGAAAACAATAGAAGAAAATGTGGTTTTCGTGATTGTCAAAATCAAATTGAAAAACAAGACGGTGACGCTTGGTTAACGCTAACTCGGTGTAATTCTTGCCTAGTCAAGCGCGGTTGAGCACCAAAATGCGATGCTTGCTCCTTGACA